ATTACCACTTTATTATACAGCTTAATTCGATGAGCAGATTTGTTACTGATAATGATCAAAGACAAACTACCACTTGTAGCGTCCAACGGGGTCCCAAAAACCGGGGCGACCTATCTTGCATGGTCCTTGGGTGGCTTGCTTGTAAAAACCATAAAACTTCAGCATGAGCTCATGCGATGGTTTGTAGGAGCCTACAGAGGAGAAGTTCACGTTTATGTTTAAAATCCATGTTTTTTAAAATACAGACCGACATACATTTTCCTGGCAATTCTGCATTGAGGCTGGCTAAATCATGCAGATTAGATGTCACATTTTCTGGATAAAAATCTGACATCTCATAAATAGTATTAAGATAAAGATGCATAATTTCAGATTATAAAATTAAACTGCCATAAAATCTATGAAAGGCAAACACAGCCAGCAAGTTCAGCAGTGGTTACATCTGCTGCTAAGCCACTTTGGCCTGATCACGATGGATTTAGCTATAATCCAGCGATAGTATGCATTCTGCATGCAGTACACAGCAATTGAAATGCTGCCACATGCAAGAGGCAAACATCTATGAAGATGAATACTGAAGGACCCGTTTCAAGGGCATGTGCGGCTTCAAGGAGTTAAATACAACTGGCAATGGTTTATAAGTACCATCTTTGCAAGTTTACAAGTCTCAGCATTTAACATCCGATGCAAGTAACGAACACACACAAAAGCGAGACATTGGTGAGAAACTGAGGTTTTGTAAAAGTCCTAACATAACATACATTTCCAGTGGCGTAGACACGAACATAATAAGGGCCTTGAACCACAGCAATGTACCAACCGGAGCTCGGTATGTAGATCCCCATCATCATGACCCCACGCAGTGACAATGACACGTTAACCCAGAAAAAGTCTATTTCAGGAGGGTTCTCCATTGACATGTTTTGACAACTGCATCAATGCTTTGCTCTGTGGGGGAAGAAACTAGAGAACTCGGGAGACATCCCAACACGCGTGGGAATAAGACGCAAAGGTCTGCACAGTCGGGTTCACGAATCCACTTGCTGTACTGCCAGCACACAGCAGCTTTGTGAGTTTCACGAATTGGTGTGCGCCTCGCACCGTCGTTCGGGAGACTCTTGACAGCGCGCACGGCCGCCTCGAAGCGCCTCTGGTGCTCGGCCACCTCCTCCACCACCTCCATGGCTCCACGTGGATGAGACGCCGCAGCTTTCCACTCAGAGACAACGACACGGCCACACTTGGGAGACGCGGGGTGACCGACAGTCACCGGTGAGACAAGGGGACACTTGGGAGACAGACACGGCGGAGTGACATGGGTCTCAGGGAAGATCGTGGATTGGGGGCAGGAGGCTTCGCTGTCCACTCACACAGCCGCCGCCGGCTCAGTCGATGTTGACGCTCACAATAACTCGTGAGCGTCTACCACACTAACCACCCCACACCACCACCCCACACCACCACTCCACCACACAACCACCACCACCCCGAACGATGAACAAATCGAGTCTACGTACGGTAGGTCGCGTTACAGTGCGGAGCCCCGCTTGGAGCAAAATAAAAATCGTGATAATCGACGCCGACCTCTACCGCCTGCGTGTTTATTCTCCCCCCCCCCCCGTCTCCTCCTCCGCCGCCGCCGCTGCGTGTGTGTGGGGGTGTGACGGAGCTACCGTCGAGGGCTATCGTCGGGGGTATTTGGGTGGGGGTAGGAAGGGAGCCGCTGCGAGGAAGCAACCCGGGCGAGGTGGCTTCCTGCTCCGCGTGAACTCGCGAAATCGCAACGCCACCACCGCCGCCGCCGCCCCTCAGCTGCTGTAGGCTCCACCGCGGCCATGTTGAGTGGGGGAACTCCTCCGTGCGTTGGCTTGGGGCCCGAGGGGGGGGGAGGTAACTTTCCTGCTTGATGTCGTTAAACCCACCATCACCCCCCGACACGGACTGAGTAACATGTTTGCACTTCAACACACCCGGTGTGTGTTGGAGAGCAGAAGCCACAACATTGTACAACTTGACTACGGCTGTCTTCTTCTTGAGAACCCCTTTACCAACATGGCCGCCCGCCATTCACAAGCCGCCACCGACAACGACGACGGCTCGGGGTGGGGAGGGGGGGGAGGGGTCATTGGGAGGCTGCGTCACGTGCCCGGAACCGCTGTCCCAAAAGTCACGGTGGTGGGCGGGGGCCTGGGAGGGAGTGGGGGGGGGGGGGCTGGGAGGGAGTGGGGGGGGGCTGGGAGGGAGTGGGCGGGGGCCTGGGAGGGAGTGGGGGGGGGCTGGGAGGGAGTGGGGGGGGGGCTGGGAGGGAGTGGGGGGGCGGCTGGGGGGGGGGGCTGGGAGGGAGTGGGGGGGCGGCTGGGTGGGAGTGGGGGAGGGGGCTGGGAGGGAGTGGGGCTGGGAGGGAGTGGGGGGGGGGGGCTGGGAGGGAGTGGGCGGGGGCCTGGGAGGGAGTGGGGGGGGGGGCTGGGAGGGAGTGGGCGGGGGGCTGGGAGGGAGTGGGCGGGGGCCTGGGAGGGAGTGGGGGGGGGGGCTGGGAGGGAGTGGGGGGGGGGGGCTGGGAGGGAGTGGGGGGGGGCTGGGAGGGAGTGGGGGGGCGGCTGGGGGGGGGCTGGGAGGGAGTGGGGGGGCGGCTGGGTGGGAGTGGGGGACGGGGCTGGGAGGGAGTGGGGCTGGGAGGGAGTGGGGGGGGCTGGGAGGGAGTGGGGGGGGGGCTGGGAGGGAGTGGGGGAGGGGGCTGGGAGGGAGTGGGGGGGGGCTGGGAGGGAGTGGGGGGGCGTCTGGGTGGGAGTGGGGGAGGGGGGCTGGGAGGGAGTGGGGCTGGGAGGGAGTGGGGGGGGGCTGGGAGGGAGTGGGGAGGGGGCTGGGAGGGAGTGGGGGGGGGCTGGGAGGGAGTGGGGGGGGCTGGGAGGGAGTGGGGGGGCTGGGAGGGAGTGGGGGGGCTGGGAGGGAGTGGGGGGGGGGCTGGGAGGGAGTGGGGGGGGGGCTGGGAGGGAGTGGGGGGGGGGCTGGGAGGGAGTGGGGGGGGGGCTGGGAGGGAGTGGGGGGGGGCTGGTAGAGAGTGGGGGGGGGCTGGGAGGGAGTGGGGGGGGGGCTGGGAGGGAGTGGGGGGGGGCTGGGAGGGAGTGGGGGGGGGCTGGGAGGGAGTGGGGGGGCGGCTGGGTGGGAGTGGGGGAGGGGGCTGGGAGGGAGTGGGGCTGGGAGGGAGTGGGGGGGGGGGCTGGGAGGGAGTGGGGGGGGGGCTGGGAGGGAGTGGGGGAGGGGGCTGGGAGGGAGTGGGGGGGGGGCTGGGAGGGAGTGGGGGGGGCGGCTGGGTGGGAGTGGGGGAGGGGGCTGGGAGGGAGTGGGCTGGGAGGGAGTGGGGGGGGGGTGCTGGGAGGGAGTGGGGGAGGGGGCTGGGAGGGAGTGGGGGGGGGCTGGGAGGGAGTGGGGGGGGGCTGGGAGGGAGTGGGGGGGCTGGGAGGGAGTGGGGGGGGGGCTGGGAGGGAGTGGGGGGGGGGCTGGGAGGGAGTGGGGGGGGGCTGGTAGAGAGTGGGGGGGGCTGGGAGGGAGTGGGGGGGGGGCTGGAGGGAGTGGGGGGGGCTGGGAGGGAGTGGGGGGGGGGCTGGGAGGGAGTGGGGGGGGGGCTGGGAGGGAGTGGGGGGGGCTGGGAGGGAGTGGGAGGGGCCTGGGAGGGAGTGGGGGGGGGCTGGGAGGGAGTGGGGGGGCGGCTGGGAGGGAGTGGGGGAGGCGGCTGGGAGGGAGTGGGGGAGGGGGCTGGGAGGGAGTGGGGCTGGGAGGGAGTGGGGGGGGGGCTGGGAGGGAGTGGGGGAGGGGGCTGGGAGGGAGTGGGGGGGGGGCTGGGAGGGAGTGGGGGGGGGCTGGGAGGGAGTGGGGGGGGGGGGCTGGGAGGGAGTGGGGGGGGGGGCTGGGAGGGAGTGGGGGGGGGGCTGGGAGGGAGTGGGGGGGGGGCTGGGAGGGAGTGGAGGGGGCTGGGAGGGAGTGGGGGAGGGGGCTGGGAGGGAGTGGGGGGGGGGCTGGGAGGGAGTGGGGGGCGGCTGGGAGGGAGTGGGGGGGCTGGGAGGGAGTGGGGGGGGGCTGGGAGGGAGTGGGGGGGGCTGGGAGGGAGTGGGGGGGGCTGGGAGGGAGTGGGGGGGGTCTGGGAGGGAGTGGGGGGGGGGCTGGGAGGGAGTAGGGGGGGCTGGGAGGGAGTGGGGGAGGGGGCTGGGAGGGAGTGGGGGGGGGCTGGGAGGGAGTGGGGGGGGAGTCTGGGAGGGAGTGGGGGGGGGGCTGGGAGGGAGTGGGGGGGGGCTGGGAGGGAGTGGGGGGGAGGCTGGGAGGGAGTGGGGGGGGGGCTGGGAGGGAGTGGGGGGGGGCTGGGAGGGAGTGGGGGGGGCTGGGAGGGAGTGGGGGGGGCTGGGAGGGAGTGGGGGGCGGGGGCTGGGAGGGAGTGGGGGGGGGCTGGGAGGGAGTGGGGGGGGGCTGGGAGAGAGTGGGGGGGGGGGCTGGGAGGGAGTGGGGGGGGGGCTGGGGGGGCTGGGAGGGAGTGGGGGGGCTGGGAGGGAGTGGGGGGGGGACTTGGAGGAAGTGGGGGGGGGGGCTGGGAGGGAGTGGGGGGGCTGGGAGGGAGTGGGGGGGCTGGGAGTGGGGGGGCTGGGATGGAGTGGGGGGGGCTGGGAGGGAGTGGGGGGCTCGGGAGGGAGTGGGGGGGGCTGGGACGGAGTGGGGGGCAGGGAGGGAGTGGGAGGCTGGAAGGGAGTGGAGGGGGGGGTCTGGGAGGGAGTGGGGGGGCTGGGAGGGAGTGGGGGGCAGGGAGGGAGTGGGAGGCTGGGAGGGAGTGGGGGGGGGCTGGGATGGAGTGGGGGGGGACTGGGAGGTTATAGTTGGGTCTGGGAGGGAATGGGGGGCTCGGGAGGAAGTGGGGGGGCTGAGAGGGAGTGGGTGGGCCGGGAGGGAGTGGAGGAGGGTGAAGCCCGGGTGGGTGGGGGGTCAGGGCGAGGCTGCGCATGCGCGGTGGCTGCCAGTGGAGGGAGGAGGGAGGGACACGCGCGGCAGGCGAAGATGGCGGAGCTGCAGCAGCTGCTGGAGGAGGAGGTCCCCGCGGCGCGGGCCGCGCTCCTGGAGAGCCACGGCAACCTGCAGCGAGTCGCCGACTACTGCGAGGGCAACTACGTGACGGTGAGATGGCGCCCACAGCGACGACGAGAAGGAGGGCAGTGGGGAGAGGGATGAGAGAGGGGTAGGAAGGGTGGGAGGCCCCCGCCAATCTGGAGTCCTGTGGGTTCTGGGCTGGGCCAGGAAGGGGAAGAGGTGGTGAGGTGAAGGTGGTCGGTGGTGGTGGTGGACGAGGAGGAGGTGGAAGAGATTGAGGTGTCGTGATAGGTGAGTTCATGACGGGAAGTGAATGTTGAAGCGAGAGGCGGTGTTAAAAGAAGAGGTGGAAGTTGGATTAAGTGGTGATGGTGGTGGTAGAGGAGGTGGTCGAGATGGAGATGTAGGGGAGTGTTGGATGTAGGTGATGGAGGAGGTGGGCGAGATGGAGATGTGGGGAGTGTTGGATGTAGATGATGGAGGAGGTGGGCGAGATGGAGATGCAGGGAGTGTTGGATGTAGATGATGGAGGAGGAGGTGGGCGAGATGGAGATGTAGGGGAGTGTTGGATGTAGTTGATGGAGGAGGTGGGCGAGATGGAGATGTAGGGAGTGTTGGATGTAGATGATGGAGGAGGTGGGCGAGATGGAGATGTAGGGGGAGTGTTGGATGTAGTTGATGGAGGAGGAGGTGGGCGAGATGGAGATGTAGGGAGTGTTGGATGTAGATGATGGAGGAGGAGGTGGTCGAGATGGAGATGTGGGGAGTGTTGGATGTAGGTGATGGAGGAGGTGGGCGAGATGGAGATGTGGGGAGTGTTGGATGTAGTTGATGGAGGAGGAGGTGGGCGAGATGGAGATGTGGGGAGTGTTGGATGTAGATGATGGAGGAGGAGGTGGTCGAGATGGAGATGTGGGGAGTGTTGGATGTAGGTGATGGAGGAGGTGGGCGAGATGGAGATGTGGGGAGTGTTGGATGTAGTTGATGGAGGAGGAGGTGGGCGAGATGGAGATGTGGGGAGTGTTGGATGTAGATGATGGAGGAGGTGGTCTAGATGGAGATGTAGGGAGTGTTGGATGTAGATGATGGAGGAGGTGGTCTAGATGGAGATGTGGAGGTGATGTAGATGATGGAGGAGGGTCTAGATTCAGATGCGGGAGTGTTGGATGTAGATGATGGAGGAGGTGGGCGAGATGGAGATGTAGGGGGAGTGTTGGATGTAGATGATGGAGGAGGTGGGCGAGATGGAGATGTGGGGAGTGTTGGATGTAGATGATGGAGGAGGTGGGCGAGATGGAGATGTGGGGAGTGTTGGATGTAGATGATGGAGGAGGTGGGCGAGATGGAGATGTGGGGAGTGTTGGATGTAGATGATGGAGGAGAGGTGGGCGAGATGGAGATGTGGGGAGTGTTGGATGTAGATGATGGAGGAGGTGGTGGTCGAGAAGTGTGAGGAGACGTGAGAGTTGATAGGAGCGGCGGTAGATGACGGTCAGGTGGTGGAAGTGAAAAAGTGAAGGAAGATTAATCGGAGGATGTCGGAAATACGTCGAGGATGTCAATGTGAAGAGTGATGCTGATGTGTTAGGTGGTGGTGTTGATACAAAATAATTGAGTTCATAGCGATGTTGAATGTGAAACGTTACTGTTTATAAAACTGATGCCAACATTGATACGGGTGTGGATCAATGAAGTTGGTGATTATACATTTGGCAGTGCCCTTGGAAGGCTTTGATAAAGATGACTTTAATGAATAACATGTTTATGGTTGATGAGGTTGATAACATAGCTGTTGCTGACAGTGAACGTGATGATGGTGTTGATTAAGTTGATTATGATGATTACTGCACTGTTGTGTTCAGGCCAGCGGCTCTTAATTACGTGGGCTGTTGGCGGCTGGGAAGCACTGCATTTTCGTGACGAGGATGTTTATGTTTCTGCCAAAGCCCACGGGTGCGCAAGCCCGAGTGAGTGGGGAGGAGTTGGCAGCAGGGGTCGGGGAGGTGGTTGTTCGTGAGGAGAGGACGTCACGAGACTCACAATTCTCCGAGGATGAGAGTTTGCTTCTTCGCTGCCCCATCTTCTTGTTGACACGCAGAGGCCCGTGCAGCTAAGGTCGCAGAGTCGAAACTGGGATGGCTTGATTTTCAGAATCAGGCCAGCTCTCTACCCTGATTTAACCTCCCTTTTTTCAATCACGATGAATTGCAGTCTCTTTTGTGAATACAAGTCGTGTTGCATGATGATCCAACTTCATATTTATGCAGATTCTACATACATTATAACACATTGAGTGATTTGGAGGTCAGTGTTGTGTGTAGTACATGAAGAAAAAGCCATAGATAATCGCTGAGTGAGTAAATCATTGAAGGTTTATGAGGATACGTCTCACGTGGCCCATGTTTCTAGGCACAATTTGTCGTGCTTAACCTGAAGTTATGGAAATGTGCATATCTCCTTAGTCACGTAATCACTTCCATGTCCTTCCACTTTGTCAGGCCCCAGATAAGCGGCAAGCGCTTGAGGAGACCAAGGCGTACACTACTCAGTCCCTGGCCAGCGTCGCCTACCAGATCAACACGCTCGCCAACAATGTGCTCCAGATGCTGGACATCCAGGCTTCACAGCTCGGCAAGATGGAGTCGGCAATCAACCACATCTCACAGGTACGGCTACTTAACCACGGGGTCCCTGTAACATGTATCTTTAGACTTTCCTGAGTTTGTGCTTCTAAGTTTTTTCCCAAAAAATATGCCAGTGACTAAATCACCAAATCACCCAGAATGCTGTCAATCTCGTGAGATCTCTGAAGGCCAACATGGTTGCGTCTGGATAGTGCTTGGATGGTTGATCACCATGCGTAGCAGGTTGTTAAAGACTGGCTGGGCTATGTGGTGATAAGTGGAATGCTGTGCAGGGAAATCCATTGTTGTGCTATACATCTATGTGCCCCAGATTCACAAACCCATCCTGATCAATACAGTAAAGTATGGTCAAAGTAACTGGTGCAGTTCATAATTTACTTTATTGTACATTAATACTTACACCTGGTATGCCTTGTTTTGTTCGTTGGTGTTTGTTAGTTGCTGATTTGCAATAAGTATAACTTTTGTGTGCGTATGCATGCGTGTGTCTGGTTCCTCTTATTTTGCTGCCACAGTTGAGATTGTGCTGAAATCATCTACTTCGTAGGGTTCATTCTGGTGCAGCAGCAGCTGTTATAAAATTACTTTTTCCGATTGCTTTTCATAGGCTATAGAGTAATGTGAATAAGGGGTTTTACATTGACGATAATTACACTGTTGTAATTTACAATAAGTGAAACATGTATTATGTAAAAGGAAAGGCAATGTATAATTTATGATATGTATATTAGCTAAAGCACAAGCGGTTGGAATTAAACTATTTAAAGGAAGGTTTGATCATTCAATTGCTCTTCAGTACAATTGGGCAACATTTATGAAGAATGCTTTTGGCCAGGGAATCCACGTGTACCATAACGTTTTAATATAATTCAGCCATCTCGTTTAAACTTGCTTCTATTTCCAATCCAATTTGTTCGTGAGAGTACTTTGTAATGGCTATGCACCCATTAATGCTATTTTTGGACTTGTGTTAACATTTTTCAATGTTGTTTCGCAGTGGAAAATCCTATGTTTTGTTTACTCTATACTCTTTGGTTCTTTCGTTAAAGTCACGTAGGGAGACAAAATAATAGATCATGACGTTTCGATCGCCACACAAGCAATCATCTTCAGGTGGGAGAGAGAAACAGGCTGCTGAAACAAGTCCTATATAGAGCCGAGGGGATGTTTACTCATAAACCAGTTTGAAAAGTCACTTGTTGAGAAACTACTAGTTTGAATGCAATGCATCCAACTATGTAAATACAAACACTTATATCCAAATCTCAATAAAGTAGAAAGAGTCCTTGCAAATTTCTTAGATTAAAAAAACACAGGATGTGAAACAATACAATGGTTGCCACTGGAAGGAAGCTTGTTTTCCATTTCGAGCCCTGGGATTTATGAATTAGGGGCCAGGATACAGACACTGATGTTGCCTTTTCTAGAAGGGCATGTTTAGTTGTTTTGTGAAGTTGGTGTACCCTCAGGTTGGAGTGCACACAACGCTACAACCTAGGAGGTGTTATCCAAATGTATAAGAAGCCGAATATATGCAGACAACTGTCTTGTGATCGTTCATCAGCAAGAGCCAATCCACTGCTGGATGAAGGGCTCCCCCATGCCATTACTATCTCCCGTGATCTTGCTAAGTAATAAAACATTTTTATTTTATCTGATAAGGCCCACTGAACTATATAGCTCTTTTTTAGAAGTGATTTGACCGCAAATGATAGCTTCACGAAGTGGCTTATATGAAAATGTATACCAGCCAAATACTGTAATGTGGAGGGAAAAACCGGAGGACCCAGAGAAAAATCCGTGTGACCACGGGGAGAACATGCAAACTCTAATTATATGAGCGTCAGGGTCGTGATGGAACCCACGACCTGTTGAAGTAGTTAACATCTCGCCAACGTGGGGACCCAAGTTATGTAATAAGCAATACGTCGTGAGGCCAGAGAGGTAGAGTAGACAAGAGATGGAGACAGTACTGTAAGATATCATGGGACCCGATGAGAATTAAATAAAAAAATGTCAAAGTATGACAACTATGAGCAGTAAATAACTCTGCATGACTCTCACTGGGTGGGGTTCTTTTGATTTAAACAAAGTATTTTTTACTGAATAGTAGGTTTGTAAAGATGCATCAATTTATGGATACATTTTTAATACGAAGATTCGCATTACCTGCATTGAGTCGTTTTGGTGACAATTTATGGGGGGGGGGGGGGGTTATTAATGCACGTGATATTATTATGACATGCTGGTGTGACATTTAAATCGATCTCTAGTGAACAAAACTCCAAACGAAACATTCATTAAATGAGAACTCGTACCATCGTGAAAAATACAGATCTGTGCATTTTCTAATGACTTGCACTGTCCGTGCTTTTGCGCTTGACCAAGCAAGCACCAATTTAAAAGAAAAACATCACCTTTCATCCTGGTGATGAAAAACATATTACTTTCTTTAATAATTGTATACATTTTCTATTACAGCTCTTTTTAAATATGTATTGCTATAAATCGTTCAAAAAGAGGGGTGGTTTTGTTGAAATTAAATTTGATGTCGAAGTTGTGTACAAATGGGGGAATCAATGCATTGTGTATGTGAGGATAAATTATAGGAACATAAAATGAGTCGGTGCAATTTTTCGTTGGATGATCCTATATATTGGAATTGACTTTTACGCACCTTGTGAGGTTTTAGTTATTTTTGTCACGTCCCAAGAAGACCTATAACGTGATGACGTCATCTTGCTCTATTTAAGACCGGAAGCAGGTAGATTGCTTCACTATTCTGTCAAATCGCCCGATGATGCTGGATGTAATTACCAGTGAAACATCGCATTCATATTGTAAAGGTTTTGGATTTACTCTCCAACACACCGGTGGGCTGAAGTAGTAAATAATTGGCGCGTTGTTTACGTGACAAACCATACTGGCTGTGTCGGGTGGTGGAGAGTTACGGCACATTTATACTTATGTGATCTAACCCAAAAACCTTTATTATGAATAATATTGGTCGCGAAAGCTTAAGTGCTAAACGGTTAAGGTTTTACAAAAATTGTCGTGTGCAATCGTGTTTCCAATTTATATTTACCTTTAAACACAATGGGTTTTTTCAATAGCATTATTGCTGCAGTAATACGATAGTTAAATAGTTTTTCATTGTCTTTAAATCGCGCACTGTTGAGTTTTTTTCCAGCGAGAAGAACAAGTTTCATGAAGGCAGTGACTCCTGAGTATGAAAACGTATCTGTTAATTAATCAATCAGAAAACGTCTTACAATTATATAAAAACACAATAAGTGATTTTCTATTCATTGTTATAATTGATATTGTAATCACGCTTTCTCACGAATATCTTTAGTTAGATACTACAAGCTCAGGAAGGACCTCGAGTGATGCAGGGAATGTACATATATCATGTATTATAACAGCATGCATCATGTCCTGCATTGTCTCATTACTATCCTATTTGACACATGAGATAGTCCATGGACATTGGGGTGCATTAAATATACTTGTAAAATGCAACTCTTGCCACAAAGGATGCACTTGGAGTAGACTGCATTAATATGAATAAATAATCACCTCCTAATGCATAGTTATTGCTGCAAACGCGTGTGTTCTGTTGATATTTGCATTGACATTACTTCCTCCAAAGGAGTGGGGAAATATGTAGGTTAAGAATTGGAAACAGATACTGTTTTTAGTTACTTTGCATATGGGAAGCAGAAGAATGTCACTGCGTGTACCGGACTACTGTACTGACAAATAAAATATTCAGCAGACTGCATAACCTTGGAAATACTCTTGATTTAATGGTACACACTGTAAAAGTGTTCACGTTGTAAAACAATTGAGATGAAAAAAATATTCCAGTTGTGATGCTTTTTTTTTACGAAGTTCACCCTGGACGGTGACTGCACATGTAGATTTGGGTGCCACGGTGGCGAGAAGTTAACTACACCTCTCCTGGTATGCAGGAAATCGTGGGTTCGATCCCGGCCCTGACGCCTGTATATATGGAGTTTGCATGTTCTCTCCGTGGTCGTGTGGACTTATCTCCGGATCCTCCGGTTTTTCCCTCCACATTTAGACATGCATTTCGAGTATTTAGCTGCTATACATTTCCACGTGATGAGCCATTTCGTTGAGCTATCATTTGTGGCCAGATCACTTCTTAAAAAGAGACCTTACCTGGTAAAAGAAAAAATAGTCTATAGTTTAAATAATTTTATAGTTTACATTTCATCTGCTGGTTTTATACCACATTTTGTCCAGTACATGTCCATTTTGGACCTGGTTCTGCATTTCCCCAGCCATGTAGTCTGGTACAAGGATGCCTCATGCTGTACAAATGCAAATCAACTTGGCCATCTCTACCGATGTCAGTCTCCCATAGCAACATGTACTATTGGCCAAGGAGCTGTAAAAATGGGTCTTCTTTCACAGAAGACACTGTTTGCTTGACTATTTACATAAGCCTATACTGTAATTTCTTTTATATGTTCCACGTTAAATGTTATTTATCCGTATGTACTAAAAACTGCTTCTGCAAAGTTGTTTTGAACTTTTTCATTATGATGCTTTATACAGTATATGTATTGTTTTATGCTATTCGGCAATGGCCATACAGTTGTACTTGCAGTGTAACCAATGGGCTTTGCAGAAACAACTTATTGAGTAGAGTTTGTTTCATGCCCATATAATGGATGTGATATTATGGTTCATAACATGTTGATAAACAGTTTTTTTTATTAAGGAACCGTTCAGTATTGAATTAAGTTTGCCAAATAGGACATTCATACAATGTCTTAAGTTCAGTAAATATGTAATCGATGAAATTACTTCCAACAGTTTACGATTCAAATATTTATATAGCAGACACATTCTAAAACAACAGTATGCACAGAATGTTTATATAGCAGACATATTATAAAACCACAGTATTCACAGAATTAAATATACATTTATCAGGAGTGATCTTAAATGTTTTAACATCTATTGTACAGTAATACCACGATTTACATTTCCCCCTTTCGCAAATACATTGTCACGTTATTAATACCACTACCTGATTTGCGTCGCCTCAACCAACACTTACGTCGCTGACAGCATCGTCCATCCTTTCTCGTACCCGTCGCCTTAGCCTTTGCTTCCACCTACCCTGCACACAAACCGCTTTGCGGTAAATCCCCCCCCCCTTCTCTCTCCCCCCCTGCAGCTGACCTCTCCAGTGCTGCTGCGGTGGTCCACTTTACTCCAGTGACCCGGGTGCTGCTGCGGGTCCATTTTTCTGCCCCGCCTCCTTTCCCCTCAACTTCTCTCTCCTCCCCTGATGCAGAGGCCTATATAACCTCGTGCCACGGCAGATCTCTCGCCTACTTCAGCAGTTTTTTCTTGCTGTGGTTGTCCCACCTGATGACGATCGTCATCTATCGTGATCTATTATTTTTCTATCTACGTGAGTTTACCGAAAGAACCAAAGAGGATGGATTCCTGTAGTCACAAAAGCTTCAAATCAAGATTGATGGGATATTGCTGTCATAATATACCGTTGTCTTTTTTTAAGTACTTTTAAGTTTAGGTTATTCTATTTAATTATGTTTGACTCAACGTGTTTCAGTCTCAACATTTCATTCCAAGCAATTGTGATCACACCATTATCATCACTAACCATAACTTAACCCACTGCTGGATGAAGGCTTCCCCAAGGTGTTGCCTGCCTCACAATCGCGGGATGTAATAAACAACTGCATGTGAACTCACTTCATCACTGTCTCCTCGGTGCATTTCCTTTTGAGCGAGTACCCACCCTTGGCTACCACTCTATCATTCTTGACTATCGGCCATCATCTCTAACGGTGTGCTGCCGAAACCCACTGACTTTTCTTAACGGTTAAAATTAACGTCCTTAGCCTCCACATATTCTCTAATTCGTGTTCCAATTTCTGTCTCAAAATGTAATTCCAGGCATGCATCTGTCATGCTTCATTGCACACCTTTAATCTATTCTCTATTTTTCCTTCATGTCAATATTTCTGATCCATATGTCATAATGGATAATACGCATTGGTAAAAAATACGATAACTGTAATCAGGTGTCTATATTGCTGTTTATTCCCGTGGATGTAAACTATCGTATATGAATGACACCTTTTGTCTTGCAGACGGTGGGCATCCACAAAGAAAAGGTGGCCCGGCGTGAGATCGGCATTCTGACCACCAACAAGAACACAACACGCACACACAAGATCCTGGCACCCGTCAACCCCGAGCGACCTGTGCGCTATGTGCGCAAGCCACTGGACTTCAACGTGTTGGATGACATCGGCCACGGCATGAAGGTAATAAGTGGAATGAGCCCTCGGCCTAGCTTGTGTGTAGCACTGGCTTTGGTAGGTGCATGTTTTGTGGTGCACTCAAGCTGCATGACGAATTTTGAATTCATGAAGTAAACAGTTCAATGTCATGGGGGACATTACTGGATGTTTTTGCAACTCATACATAGTGTTAGAAATTTAAGTAGGAAATAATGTGGTGATTGTGTTGCCTGACCTTTTTCGGTCGAATAATTTAATGTTGCAGACATTTTGGTAAAAGCATATAATGTGTATTTGATAAATTGTAATATATTTCTTCGTTTAGTTTTCTATTCTGCGTATGATTGTTTAACTGGGTAGTGAAAATGATGTGTCAGTGCTGCTCAATGGCCTCTGGCTCGAATGTAATAAGTATAACCCGTAAAAACAAAGTTTTTCACTCTAAATCCTTTATATGCGTGGCGGCCAGAGTCCTCTCGTCCTCTGGCTTGAGGTGGCTGCCACCTATGGGTCAGATGATTGTTTGCAGTATTAAACAATTGGTAATTAAGTATTTAATTTGTTTTCCCTAAACAGTGTAAAATTTTGGAAAAATTTTTTCACGAACATTAATTGTCTCGCACAACGAGTCTGTGTGCAAAATGTCAGCTCGATTGGATCACGGGAAGTGGGTTAAAAAAGGACCGAAAGGTTTGCACGGTCGTAAGCAAGCAAGCACGCAAGCAAGCGAACTTAATATAAAGAATTTTAAAATGGCTGATAAACTGTGCGTGAGCATACAAGTTGCAGTTTGCATTTGAATCCTGCACGTTTCTTTTAACTGTTAAAGTAGAACATTAGTGGTTGTATATGTAAGAGGGCAAGAAGATGGTTTTAAACATTATTATAAACTGATTACAGGCAGTCGACGGGTAACAGAAGGGTTAGGTCCCCAAGAACGATCCATAACACAAATTTTCCATATGTCAGAAACTGAACAATTTGCTCCCCAAATCAAGATAAAATCCCATATGCTAATTAGTGCCTCCCCTACCCGATTACTAGTTTGTTTTCTCTCAGCACTGTATTGCGCTGTCGTCCGTTTTCTATCGCTGCCTGTATCTTATCACTGTAGGTACGCCCTGTACTTCCTATGATTCTTGAATTTCATCAAATATCTACCCTAATACTACCCATAATTAAACTAATGGAACATATACTCTATCCAATTGCTTATGAATACCACAAAACATTTTTATATTAATTGTTTACAGAAAGCAGTCACTTCCGAATGTTCGTTTACCGTGCATTAGGCTAGGCCTAGACTTCTCCGATCGCTTTTGGCTGAGACCATAAGCAGTCGAAGTGTAATTTTGGTAAATGAAGTACATAGAATAAATAATTCATGAAATAAACTTAAAATGAAGAAAACTAGCAATAGAAACATGGGAAAAAGAGTTCTAAGCATAGAAACATTTTTAAATTGCTACGAAAGGAAAATTATTTCGTAATACTACAAAAAAAATTCCATTTACCCGAATTCTCGTGAGGCTCAGGCTCGGTGAAGGCAGCATTTTGGTGGAGCAAGGTGTAAGGGCGGGGCTTATGCCTCGCTCCGCGGTATTCATCCGCAACCTCACCGTGCTGCACTATTGACGCTTGGTAACTAACGCAAATATTTTCGCATATTTTTTTACATGATTTATGGAAGCATTTCCATAAGGTCGGATTTCCGTGAGTCGGGTCTTCCGCAACCCAGGGACTTGCTGTATATTTTTCTACAGTCATTGTCTTTCCTGCCATTTTCATTACGATTTTCATTTGTTTAAACCATGACAGCTGGCATTTGTCTTGTATGGAATACATTGGTATATAATAATAGCCGATGTGTGTAACATGAATAGAATTACTTTACCAAATTCTCACTGCTGAGTCCGAATAATACATACTTTTCAGTGATGTAATATTTGTGTCTTTGATGAAAAAAAATATGCACTCACAAGATGGTCTGTCAAACTACCTGTCTGGTTTTTCATGTAAAAATTTAAGGTCAATGGTTCTCAAACTCTAGTTTCCTCTTAAGTTAACACACGTGTAGATTGTTTTAGTATAACAGAAGTGTCGGCTAAGGTGGGTTTATGAGCAGAGTTATCAGACATTAAATGACAACATATTGAGTGTCTCTGTTACAACGCTTTTAGAAAGCCATTGGAAAACATACATTACCACGTTGTTTGTGGACGATGTTTAAATGGCAGTAAATATGTATTTCAAAGGAAAACAATATAAATAACACTTTATTGCACATTTACTCATTCAGCTGTTGTGTGTCTCCATGGTGTTACCTAAAAGTGATCATTTAAAATGTATATTGAATCGACTCTAAAAAAGACAAGCCATCGTGTAAATCAAACCTCACTCCATAAAATGTGTTGCCTTAACTGCATGCAGATTTATAGATAAGTTATATTTTGCTTCTATTTTTATTTTCTGCTTTGCGCAAAGTGGCTTCTGAAGGCTAAGGTAAGAAATCAAATACCGTATTCTGTTTGTGCTGTGTAAGTGTATTGTGCTGTGTTGTGTAAGGTCCGTTTAATTTGCGGGCCATGCAGTTGTTTTTGTGATGATTATCGCAAGCACTGTGGTGTGAGCTTGCTGCGCATATAGGCTGTGCTCAGTTTTGGGTGTGCCTTTGTTGCAGCAGGGAAACAACCCCAACGGAAGGACCAGCAGTATTTCCCGGAGCACACCGCCCACTCAAAAACCTCCCAGCCCTCCTTCAGTCAGCAGAGGAACCATTGGGTACGAGGTCACACTTTTATTTCTTTATTTAGTTGTAATTCGAGAATTTTTACATGGGCAGGGATGTGAAATACAATTGCATGCTCTATTGTCATGCCGTTAATCTAATATTTCATGTATTGTACCAGGGCTGTTGAAAACTATTGCATGTTGTGTTTTAAACTATTGCCATACATTGCAATGTGATTTTTAGAAAACAGGGAAAAACTAATAGTTATGTGAATAATACCAATGTGTGTTTATCACTTTCATATTCTAGGAAATCATATTTGTACAAGCAGTGGATAAAACTTCGCATTATCCTCCTGTCAGTTTCCAGTGCTACTCATGTTCTCGTGTCCGGAGCAAATCTAAGCCCCCATTATCGTCGTTATGAATTGGACGGTCTATATTGGTTTTTGTGTGTGTGGGCGGTCTGCCTTCAGATGTTCGGAATTTTGTCTATTCAAAAACAAAGCTTGTGAACTGAGGAGTGGTTTTTAATGTACAGTACGGTAAGTAACTAAATGCCCTTGAAATGCTCTAAAATTTACCATTTGGGATGGATAATCATGCAGATCAACAATTGAGAATACAACTGAAAAATGTGTAAGAGTATATTTACCAAAGGCAGTTATTTATGGCACACTGGGATCAAACTTATAAAATAAAGAGGTGAACAAGAGAAGAGTACTTTTTAAAAACTTAACTTAATATTATAAGTCATGTACCAGTATGTCTAAAGGGAAACATCTTAAATCACTGCATATTACCTACTGTGAGATGGACAAGAGAATGCAACAAAAGCTAACATCTGTGCAAAGAAGCACAGAGGCACTTGCTTGGAATTCCATAGACATTGGCAAAGCAAGACAATGCAATTTAAAATGCACGGTGTTATGAACGACGTGGTCACAGCTTTTACATGAAGATGAGGTGAACATGTTTAAAATGGATATATAATGCGGATAGCCCTCAAAAAGGATAGGGACACAAAACATACTTTTCCCACTATTAAAGCATGAGCCGCTCAAGTATAAAAACTGTTGCAATGCCTCCACCTACTTTACAATCAGACATCACGCAGAGCACTGATTGCTTTTGATTGCTGCATTCAACTTTACAGTGGCTCAGACATCAAGGATTGAAACGTCAATCCCGAGTAACCTTTCCAACTCGTATAATCTGACAAAATAGCTATTATAACATCCATTTGAAATGAATTGTAAGGAATGATTTATGAATAGAACAAAGAAGGTTGCAAAATTGGGCTAAAGATAAATATGAGCAAAACAAACGTTTTTTGCAAGAAGTTGGAGATACAACTGTAAAACACACCATATATGAATATCTAAGACAAATGGTGACAGAGAATGGGGAGAATAATGAAGAGATAAAGAGGTGAGCAGGAACACAATGGAATGCTTTTGGAAAATGTTATTTGATAATGAGAAGGGTTTTTTTTACAAAAAGCTGAAATGTGTGCAAAGTAGCATGGGGAGGTGCAAGTTCGGAATTAGACTGAGAAACAGAGGGAACGTGTAGATTAGAGAACAAATGCAAATTAGAGACATCACATTGACATCTATGATCTTGGGCAATCCACATAGCTAGAAGAGATTATAGTCAGTCGTCGAAAATGGCAGTGGCAGCCAAAAGAGGACACGCCCGAGAAACATCCACCCCTGAGATGGAAATATATAATTTTATTATGTTCAAGTGCGAGATTAATTGTCGTATTGCAGCATTGGATTGACGATTGTCGATGATTGATTGTTTATTCATCATCTTACGATGACAAATTATTAATTTCATACTTTATGTTTCTCAAAGAAACTGTGCCCCTTTTATTGACATTAAACATACTGTGTATTTTTTGTGTGAAACAAATCATTCTATCAATGTTGTACACCATGAGTCATACAGGTAAACATTTATTGGCCAGTTCAACTGCTGACAAATTATTATATTTTATGCCTTGTTTGTAGAAATTATTCGTTTTTGTTGGTTAATTGTGTCATTGCTATTAAAAAAGGAAATATTTTTCTCAGAGATATTGCATTCTACAACTTATTCCCATTGTAAAACAAATACAGTATATATCAATTCTGTTGTTTTATGAGGCTGGACAGGCACACTACTGAAAATTAAACACATTTTCCAAATAATCTTGAAATATTGCATGAGATTGAAAGGAACTTTGGTTTATTTTTACTTGCTGGTGCATTTGTGCATGAAACTAACTGCTGCTTCCTTCTCTATCACCTGCTTGGCATGACACGGGTGCCTTGACTTGCCTGCTGCAATGCAGGACTCTGGGACGCAAGGGGTATGTAGGGTTATGTCGTCTTCATTGATTGCCTGCTTTAATTCACTTCCCCTTTCCTTAAAAGTCAAATCTGTGATTGAAGTGCATTTTTATTTATCCATTGTTTAAGAAACTATTTTGCTGGCGTTTAGTGTCTACTTATCTTCTTTCATCCCCTCATTCCTTGATTAAGGATAGAAAATATTTTCATGTTAAATACAGCTGCACTTTGCTTGCAGTTTCACTGCTGATGTTGAGGGCATTCTCTCTCGAAGCCGATGATGCGGAATGGCTCTGTCTAGTGGGTCCACCGGGAGGCACTGGCAGGGGTGAGGGGTCAGTTCTCTGCTCTTGGTTCTGCAGAAGGAGCTCTCCCTACCGGACTCTGGAGCCGGTTCGGCCGCCAGCTCTGCCTAACGATTACACAGCCAGCCCGGGTTGGGGGCCTCCAGCTTCTCAGCAGCAGCACCTACAGAGCCCTGCACGTACTGCTTCCCTCAACCAAAGGGCTCGAACATACAGGTAGTGAGGGATAGGAGACAGACTTCCTGTTGGCAGGAAGAATGTTAGTGCCGTTGAAATTTGAGCATCTTTTTGTACGAGAAAAAATGGCCAGGGTTTTTGAGCGGTAAGTTTTTCTTGTGCTGGGTAATTGCTTGGTTGCTTAATATCTGCTTTATTAACCTCTTGTTTTAAACCATGCTTCATTTGCTTTTGATTTTTCTGCAGTTGTGGTACTAACATGTGCAGGATGATTATAAAAAAGGGATTTTGTTTAGGTGCCCCTTAATCCAGCAAGGAGCCCTACTCTGATATTTTAAAGTTTTAAATAATTTGAAAAATGTTCCTGTATTATATGCATTAATGATCGTTTTAATGTTGCAGCTGAATATGGCGCTGTTGTATTTAAACCGTTTAATATTCTTATATAATGATGTTTATTCCTTCCTGTGGGCATCAGTGGCAGCAGTGGAGGCAGCCGGAGCGGAGGCAGCCGGGAGAATAGTGGCAGCGGCAGCGTGGGCATTCCCATCCCTGTGCCCCCACCCTCCATACCAAGTGTCTTCAGCCAAGGTCTTTTCATGACTGCCCTCCTCGCTGTCTGCACAAATCTATCCTGGCATCATTGATGGACTTTGCAATGCATCTGTCTGTTTAATCAGTGCATATTCCTGCTATACTATATGGATCAGATACATGGACGTTGACAAGTAAAATAAAATAATAGCTGAAACGTGGCCATGGCATGAATAGGTTCATGCTTGTAATTAACATTTTGAAATAGCGGAACATACATCGCAAAACATACAAAAGTTAGAAACATAATTGACGTATAACAAACGTTAGTGTGCTTGGTTGGACCCATCACAAGAAGGGATGATGACTGGTGGTCGAGACTAATGATGGAGTGGTGGCCAAAGGTGCGAACATGCCTAAGAGAATGTCTACATGGAGATGGACCTATTAAATAAGTTTGTGCAGGAGCTTGGCCAAGAGAGAAAATGTGAGTCTTGGAGGCTGTTATCCAGCAGTGAATATATCATGGATGGTAATGATGAATTCATCTCGATGCACATTACAGAAAATGCCCAAGGGTTCAAAATTATGCTAACCAATGGGGATGCTTATGTTAACCTATTCTTTCTTTTAAAGCTGACCACTTAAGTAAATACTTTTCTATTACTGTGTCATATGATAAGAAAAAAAACCTCGCTGCACATAGATCATATTTCGTGTTACCAAGGACATTTTTACCTCTTCGTTTTATTTCACATCCGAGCAGTGGCCAATATAAATAAATACATAAACACACAAACATCTGTGTGTGTGCTGTTGTAGCAAAGTGCATCCAGTATAATAAATATATCGTTCTGATTTATGCACCATTACTCTACATTCTTTTAATCACACTTGAGAAGCAACAGATTGGAAGTCGTGACAGTACTTTGAAGACATTGCATGGAGCTGAATGCCCTAAAACCGGCTTCATCACGTGCTGAAATAATTCTGTGCTGCTATTTATACTGTACTCACCACTGTATTATTAAACATGTCTAGAGTGCTTCCACTCCATTAAACTATTGTTTATTCTTGAAATGCTAATTTGACTCGAAAACACACTTGACGATTCCTGTAATTAAATTGTGGTATTGTCTTTGAGTGATGTAGTAATTATTGCTTTCATAATTATCGCCAATGTTTGTCAGCCAAAGTACTTGTATGTATATTAAAGCATGTTTAACTCTAATTCGTTATATCTTGCAGCAAAATTGTATGTGTAACATGGGCAGTATAGCCACCTGTCTTCTTGTGTATTTAAAGTAGTCTTCAGATTATCAGATGGAGTGTCTGTGTACAAGTATCTTACTGGTTTGAGCATGTGCCTAACCACTCAATTTTAAGCAATATTCTACGCATGAGGCATGCGTAATTGTATTTGACATTAGCAGTGGTTTTCAGTGGCCCACTAACATCTCTGCATGTTTGTCGCATGTTCACATTTGATTGCATAGGTCCACCTACTTCCTCTTACCCGCCACCACCTTCCCCCATGCCTGCTGACGTTTACAACAATTCTTTTCCCCCTCCAGCCCCACCACTTTCAGGTAAGCTTCACTTACATCTTGAGAGCAAATCGTGCCTCTTTTTTGTGTTTTCAGTTATTCCAGCTGTTTGGCATTAATGTCAAAACCCCCAACTCAATTTAAAGCCAGTGATATTGAAAGCCTTGTGGACTGGAGATCGTATTGGTGTCAACTATCCAACCAGTTATGGGTGATGTTTATTTACATTTTACGTGATTATTTTTTATATAAGTGGGTTATCTCCAGGTTCTTTCATGCTAAAATACTTAGATAAATTGGCCCAAGATGCCAAGCAGGTTGTTTATGGAAAAGTTGCAAGGCGCAGTGAGGATCCCCAGGTAAATAAGGAACATCAAGGTTACAGTGGCTGACAAGGTTTACTTATTCCAAGTGCAAGTTAATCATTGGATGGTAATACGTTGTGATATGCTTTGATTTGAGCAAATTTTCAATTATCGTACAAAACAATTGCATGTTGGAAAACCGAGGTGAATGTTGCTAGATCTTTAGGTGAATGCTTGTGTTGATATTTTGAGCTGTATCAGTAGCTCTAAGCTTGTGAGATTTAACACAAGTTTCTTTTGGCTGCCAGCATCCATTGGTGTGCCAGCCCCACCTCCTCCCCCTCCCATGTTTGGTAAGATCAGGCTTCATGAATGTAGTACTGACCATTTCTGTCTTGCTACTAATCTAACAATGGGCGTAGCCAGTGGTAATAAAACATGACGATGTGTTGGCTTATTTAGAAGAAGAGCATTTTTGCCTAAAAAACGAAACTGCACTGCCAACCAGTCAAATGGTAATTCATGCACATTCTGTGTGCACATTATTGATGTCTAGCTATGCCCTGTGAACGCTTGCTTCTGAATTCATCATCAGGCTGAAAATAGTGATGGCAAATGCTTGTGTTGCTTGTGTCAAGGCTACTTGTTGCCTCAAACATGGACATTGGTATTGAACGGTCGTCAACTTGCTGTAGTTGCTGTCCTGTTTTAATACTAATCCTTACATGGAAGTAAACATAACTTAGCAGTGACGTGTAAGAGGAACTTGAAGTGAATGAATACAGTGAATATGAATGGGCTGCTGGAAGCTGTATTGTCGGGATTTTGCAGCTGGGCCCGGTTCCCAATACAACTCCATGCCAAGGCAGATGACGCGGAATAACTCGGCCACGTCCATCAGCTCAGGAGGCTCGCGCCGTCCCCCATCCGTTACCTCCCAGTCCTCACAACTCAATGGCGGCCCCTTCTACAGCCACAACCCCAGTAGGTGGCACTTAGAGCACTCCTCCCCTGCCCTCCCGCCAGAGGGAGCACACCCACGACGGAACCCTTAACCTTCATATAAAATGTGTTACTTTGGCCTCGTATTACCATAGTTTAACGTGGTTTGGAATGATTTTGAAGCGGAGGCTTAGAATAAAAATACAAAGCTTGACTTCATAATTCACATGCATATGTGTGTCTGGTTTTGAGATTTTATCTGATAAAGTCTAGTTTTACTGATCAAGCAATATTGCGCCTGCCTTCTGTCGCTTTTGTCAAATATTTTTTCAGGCAATGGATCATTTTCTACTGCTTTACAGCTAATTGCAAATGTACTGCTTTGTGTTTGTCCTTATCAGTGTCACATGCGCCACCCCCTCCGCCAATGCCCCAGCTCACCCCACAGATTCCCCTCACGGGCTTTGTGGCCCGCATGCAGGAGAACAGTAAGTGGTCATAATTGAGGGCACCTTAAAAATTATGCTTTATATTTAGGGCTTTGCTTTATGTTTGTGCGATTTATTTCAGTGAATTATGTTTCTTTCTTACTAATTGATTCACTTCACCCAGTGATTACAATGTTATGTAATTTGCTTTAACTGGCAGTTATGGCAGCATGTGAAGAGCTCACTAATGTCATCTCTTTTTTATAAAGTTGCAGACAGCCCAACACAAGCATTGCCTCCGCCCCCGGATGATCTGGTGGGCTTTGGCTCTGGGGGCGATGACTCGCTACTGCCTCCACCACCCCCCATCGACTACGACGAAGAAGCCTCTGTGGTGCAATACTCGGACCCCTATGCAGACGGGGATCCCGAATGGGCACCCAAAATCTACATTGAGAAGGGTGAATATTCACTGTGCACACACTGAACAACGCAGAATTGACAACTTCGTTAAAAAGCAAGCATATGCTGTTGGTCACACTCATTATCCTCACTCTTTTTGTGTTTCCTAGTGGTGGCAGTGTATGACTACGTCCAGGACAAGGATGATGAGCTGAGCTTTCACGAGGGCTCCATTCATCTATGTGGTCAGGAAAAACGATGACGGCTGGTACGAGGGTGCCACCAATGGCCACACAGGGCTCTTCCCCGGCAACTACGTGGAGCCCATAATGCACTACGCTGACTAGCACGTTGGTCCTCCTATCTGCTGTGCGCCAAGACAACACCTCGGCATTCCCACCGATGCGCAGGCGGTGCTGGAATTTCTAAATGTGGTTAGAGACCATCTACATCAATAAAGGTCAATTCAGCATCTCTTACACAGTAAAAGAGCACAAATGGTAATGGAGGTCCAAAGTTTGCATTTTTGTTAATTAATGCGTTTAACAGAATCTACCACTAGATGTAAGACATGTTCTTGGTAGTTTAAATGCCTACAACGTACATGCAAGCAGCTTAAATTGTTTTATACTAGAAAGGGTGGCTTGGTATCTTATCTGGTGTGGAAGTTTTACTGTTGAATGTGAGATTTGTGAATATTCTATCCAACTGTTCCAGTGCACTGTGTCAGTATTGACATATGCTAAAACCTGTGGTTAATCAGACAGGGTCTGAATTATTAGTTTTTAACATCAAACAGCTTTATACTGTATTGGGTTGGGGCATTTTTTTATACTGCCACTTCTGAAAGTCAACATGAGATATGTGTTCTTAATCTATTGGCTGAAACAGCCACAGACATGCTTACACTGGTGCCATTAGCAATACATAATTTTGGTAAAAATGTATTGGTGGGTTTTTAATTAACAGGGTGCAAACTAAACCAAAGCCGAGTTTATTTGTAAATGTATTCTTAAGTGCTAAAAATATTGGCATGTGTATGACATTTAGCTTACATGGCTTTATAAGTAAAATGGAGAACTCATTTGAACAGTGAAATTGTAGATTTGAAGCTTTCGTGACTGCAGGAATCCATACTCTTTGGTTCTTTTTTATACCTACGTGACTTTACCGAAAGAACCAAAGAGTAGTGAAATTGTATTATTGTAATAATTTTTAACTCATCGTGTGCAGGTCAAACCCAACCGATGTGCTTGTCTGTGGCCTTATATCATTAGCCTCACTGCAAAACCACTTAGCAAGGCACAATACAAATGGAATTTTAAATAATGGGATTTATTCCTCTGGGGCATTGAGGATTAAATTAAATTCAAATGTATTGGTTGTGAAATGTATGGAAGACAAATTGTTACTCTTGTTTTAACATGCTAACTGATGTGGCAAGAATACTACTTAATATAGTGGGATCAGTAATGTTTTGCTATTTTCTAACAACTAGGTGATTAAACTGGTAAGTGTTATTCACAATAACATTCTTAGGACACTTAAAATTATAAACTGGATTTAGTGGCAGCTGAGCTGTTTAGGCAGTTCCATGTATTTGTATTGCAATCAGTTACGTTGGAGGCACATTGCTTTTAATTCCTGTTCTTTAACATTGGCAATGCAGGCAGTACACACCTCGCATTCTCTCCAGCAGTCAGTGGGTGGAAAAAGTGCATCTTTCAGGCAAAAGAAAACGTGCATTTCAAACAAACTCAAGACAATTTATCATTGTCATCGAGATTGACTGAAGTGTTCTTTATGCCTTAATTACCATATACTCTAAGAGTCTAGAGCAGGGGTCTGCAACCAAAATAACAAGTAATTTTTTTCCGTTTAGGTAAAAAAACCTCTTTCAAGAACCACAATGCGTGTGAATACTTAGACGGTCCTTAAAGAGCGGCATGTGGTTTCAGAGCCACGGTTTGCCGAACCCTGGTCTAGAGCCTACATTGCTGGTGGATTTGTGTACAGTCCATGTATGGAGTGTTGTGGTCTGAGCAGGATACCGGATTTGAACCATATGCTACTTTCATGAAAAAGCATTTCGGTTGTGTTTTTTTTTTATGTTGTATTCATCAAGAGAATCCAGATTATAATTTTTAGTACACTTAACATTTTTTTGTAATGAGTTTCAGAATCATTACAGTTTGTAATTAATACAATCAGTTATGGATATGTTCCAGTGTGTTTTGTAAATCTTTGTATACTTTTATCAATAGCACTCTTGTAGAACGGATGACAGTATTTTCTGTGTATAGATTATATAGTCTTACACTTAAAATGTGGGGCCAGCTGAAATATCAACTCGACAAATAATTATCATTCAGAGAAAAAACTTTCGTCACATTGCAATGCAAAAATTGCATTGTGTTCAATACACTGTATGCACATGGGGCTTTTTTTCCACAGTTGTAACATTGTAACTTACATGAAGAATTGCATGGCCTATCGTGGTTGGAATTGATGGAAAATAAGGGATTAAAAATGGCAGTGCTTTGGCCGCTATTGGAAGCCTCTGGAATAAAAAGTGTGTTGTTGAAACATCGGTTTATTTGGCATGTACTTTTTATTTTGAACATGTAGTGATGGAGAGAGATGTATTGCGAGAAATGTATCGACTAATGTGACAATATAGCCATGCCTTTATCATGCTGAGTTGTGTACATTGTTACTGCTGTGGAAATGCATTATTTTCATACATATTGAGGTGTATAACTCTTGGCTTTGAATCTGCATGTTTAATCCCTATGCATTTTCTGGATTTGTGTACATACTATGTACATACATTTCCGAATAAAATACAATTAAGAACGGTATGTTTGTCTTGTGCCTCCTTAAGTTGGTGTATATGGTACTGATTTCTGAAATTGGGTCTTACCATAAAAAAAAACTCAATGTGTTATATGAAATATAGCGTACCATATTTGGGAACAATTGAAAAAAAAATTGCAGTAAGGTCGAGCGTGTCTTGCAAGGATGGGATGAACTTAAAACATTGCCAACAAAAAAATATTAGCCAAACTAACGTTATCGTCGATATTGGTCGCGAAAGCCTACGTGTTAAACTGAAGTTATCCAAGCAATACAAAAAAATGGGGGATAATGACGTATTCCTCCCGGGGATGACAACTGAAAATGAATGAGATGGGTAAATCCCCCCATAAAATCGCATCGTGTATTATGCATTGGTTGTATCGGATTAACTCTAAAAGAGGTTGGTTTCAACGGGGTGTGCACATGCGGTGCAGTTTGTAGAATAGAGCACTACTCGGGGTCGGCAACAAAAATAACAGCCTTTTTCGAATTCGGTAAAAAAATATTCCAAGCAGCCCTTAAAAGAGTCGCATGCAGCTCCGGAGCCGTAGATTGCCAACACCTGTACTTTGCTGCTATACATTTCCACGTTATAAGCCAATTCGTTGGACTCTAATTTGTTTAGTTTTTGTATTTATACCGTACCTGTCGTCATATGGGTCCACTAGAGGACTCCATACCCCCATGCGATCAAGGTTTTGACAAAGTAAAGTCGTCTTAGCTCATTTCAAATCATGTAAATAACACGGAAACCGAGAAGCTTATGTTAAGTTTATCCCTGTATAATGTGACAACGGCACACGTTCTCTCACATTCATGCATTGCTTAATCATTAATTCGGAGACACCTGTTGAGACATTGAAGGGCAACCTGAGCCAGAAGGTTACGTTCATGATTTGAAAAACGAGAGCATTTGTACAAAACACCAATGTTAATATCGCAAATCAGGGGACATAACTTGGGTATAACAATTGTAAACTTAAGAAAACATTAAAAGTGGTTAATTTGTAATAAAAAAATGTAATACCTGTAATTCTACCATCAGCATAAAGGGGAATTTAAAAAATACGAAATCGAACTCTCGTCTTTTCGGTGATTGGTGTCGGCTTGACAACAGCTTCGCGCTATTTGCAGCACCTCCAGGTGTCTCCCGCCTCCACGCGTGTCTGTTCAGTCGAGACATTATCCTGGTTTCACTGCAGCGCAAGTAGCGACCTCTATAATAAAGGTTTTTTGGGGGGTTTAAACGACATTTACGCGATTTAACCCAAAAAAACTCTTATATATTATATTGGTCGCGAAAGCCGACGTGTTAAACGAGTGACCTCTATTGACATAGATGTGGATCGCGAATCCCGCCGCACGCAACTCGACATCCCTGGATCAAATGCACTGCCAAGTACATATCCCCCAGAAGATGCCACAGTATTATACAGGGTGCATACATCACTTCAGCAGCAACAGCACACAGTCACGGCAGAATCACGGGACACTGCAGACTCCGGACTCAAAGGTGACTTCACAAGATCTCTCATCTGCAGGTGTGGTTATGCATAACAAAAGCTGTATTCGACAATTCTTCCTGAATAAATACATTGGAGGTCATCGGTGGTCCTGCCACAGTAAGGTGTAACATCCATTGATGTGAAGTTCTAGATTTTTTTTCGGTAAAGTCACGCAGTGTTTGTTCTTACGCTCAATCAATCGAGTGTGCTAATTAAAACATGATCCGGCGAAATAATAAATGCTTACTATTTAGGGCTTACCACTGGACTACAGACTGCAGAAGCGTGGCTGAATGGGACTGTGTTTAATAAGCAATCAATCCCGCTTTGTCTCGACCTTACAATGGCCCTGATTGACGAGTTAACCTGCGAACGCCCTAATTGCGAACATCAATTTACAAAATTCGCAGCGCATGGGAAAATTACCGGTTGCCTGGTGGGGGGTAATCAAAATGCTAAAGTGGGTTGAATCAATTAGGCGTCGTGATTAACACCGTGAAGATTATGCGCACGTGGCTTATGCCGAGGTGCAGCGTAAATAATGTGAACAATGCGCTGCGTGCACACGGATGAGATCCCCGGGAAGACAGATTTCAGCTCACGTGGGGTCTCAGCCCGGACAGTAACTCATGAAGCCAGTAATCAATACCAATCAATGCCACCCCTCCAGCACCGCGCCTCTTACGAATGGTTTACGCCAATGGTGTGAAATCTACTTCCCTTTATTAACTTAATTACTGCCATCTAAATCAATCTTGCTGAGAAGCCCCCGAGATTTTAAGATGAAGTTAATGTAGCAACATTTTGTTATAGGTCTCCATAAATGTGATGGACTGCCGTGTCTTTTGATTTCAACACGTTTCCAATACAGGCTGCAGAAGTCTGCTGATGAGTTAAATCACATCGCTTTTAGATTATTGTTGAAATTAGAACAGCCGCACACGCAATGTTCCCAGAACACTTTCATGACTCATTGTTGGAGATGCAACTTTGGGTGATTTATTGGTCAGAGGCCGTCCATAAATGAAGTCACGCACCGAGGGGGGGGGGGGGGTCAGACATTTGTGACGATGTGGACGAGGGGAGGAGGGGGGGGGGTTTGAGAAATGTGACGTCACATCAAAAGGCGCAACTTTAAATAACACTCTAATTTTGATAAATTTTCATTATTAACTATTTGATTATTTACGGTCACCTTTTATTTATTCCATGAAGGACCATTTTTCTTCTCCATGGGAGAATGGAGAAGCATACATTTTGTATTTTTTTGAATTATTGTTATTAAACATTTTGATTCTAATGATTCGACCAGGGCTTTTCATTCTGTGGAATGAATATGTGATTGTTATAATTGCACTCTCCATTTTGCTTCGTTCTACTACAAAGTTTCAAGTAATTTTTTATAGTTATAATTACTTTTAATATTTTATAATTATAATATAATTTAAATATAATATTTGAACATCTCCAGGTTTAGTTCGACGTTGAATATTTTCTAGTTAATTTTATGCTAAATTTCAGCTTTCTTTTTGAAACATGTTTTCACATGCAGTGGCGGCTCGTGACATTGCCACTAGGTGGGGCTGTTTTGGGTGACCTCTGAAAATTTGGTGTTCTAATTAAAAAAAAACATCGTCATGTTATTGGCCTTCCCGTGAAAGTGATATAACTGTCTTATCTACCAACGGTAGACATTTATAAACAATATACAAAACACTCAAATGCTGTCCCGATGACCATAAAATCCACACTACACAACCGCTTTGACACTGCCAAAAGCTTCAAGGACATTTAAAGATCAGCTGACACGACTCAACAAAGCCTTTCAAATTGAATATTTAGGAGTAACTCCACAGTGTTCGTTGATAATTCTTCGTTTGCTGCACATGCTGTCATCGCCATTCCTGTTGTTTTCCTCCTATAGCGTGTAGGCCGTGAGCTGCTATATTTGCACAGTGCGACCTCGCGTTGTGACATCGTCTCATTACAGCCATGGGTGCCTTTTTAAATCCTTTATATTAAGTTCGCTTGCTTGCTTGCTTGCGTGCTTGCTTGATTGCTTGCGTGCTTGCTTGCTTGCTTAGGACCGTGCAAATCTTTCGGTCGTTTTTTAACCCACTTCCCGTGATCCAATCGAGCTGACATTTTCCACACAGACTCGTTGTGCCAGACAATTATTGTTCGTGAGAAAAAAATTCCAAAATTTTACACTGTTTAGGGAAAACAAATTAAATATTTAATTACCAATTGCTTAATACTGGCAGACAATCATCTGACCAATAGGTGGCAGCCATCTCAAACCAGAGGACGAGAGGACTCTAGCCGCCACGCATATAAAGGATTTATAGTGAAAAACTTTGTTTTTACGGGTTATACTTATTTAAATCCTTTATATTAAGTTCGCGTGCTTGCTTGCTTGCGTGCTTGCTTGCTTGCTTAGGACCGTGCAAATCTTTCGGTCGTTTTTTAACCCACTTCCCGTGATCCAATCGAGCTGACATTTTCCACACAGACTCGTTGTGCCAGACAATTATTGTTCGTGAAAAAAAATTCCCAAAATTTTACACTTTTTAGGCAAAAAAAAAATATTTTACATATATTCAAATAGAACGCATTCGTGGCTTTGGCTGAACGTCAGAGTGTAAGAGCCCAGAGCGTAACCCCTCCAAAGGCCGTGGCGGAGTAGCGCAGTTGGTAGCGCCCTCGCTTCCCATGCCAAAGGTCGCGGGATCGATCCCCGCGTCCTCCACAGGCGAATATATTTTTAAATCCTTTATTAAATCCTTTATATTAAGTTCGCGTGCTTGCTTGCTTGCTTAGGACCGTGCAAATCTTTCGCTCGTTTTTTAACCCACTTCCCGTGATCCAATCGAGCTGACATTTTGCACACAGACTCGTTGTGCGACACAATTAATGTTCGTGAAAATTTTTTTCCAAAATTTTACACTGTTTAGGGAAAACAAAGTTAATATTTAATTACCAATTGTTTAATACTGCAGACAATCATCTGACCCATAGGTGGCAGCCATCTCAAGCCAGAGGACGAGAGGACACTAGCCGCCACGCATATAAAGGATTTAGAGTGAAAAACTTTGTTTTTACGGGTTATACTTATTACCACCCTAAATGGGTCTCAAACGGCGTGGTTAAAATGCTAGAAGCTAATCGCAATCAGACTGTGGTGTTGAAGCGGTTTCTAATATGAACAGCTTAAAATGTTATCTTCATTAGGCAATTCACGTTGAAATAATAATAACATTTAAGAAATGTAACCACAACAAAACTCTTTCGACAAAAGTATTTTAATTAAAAAAATAATTTCTCACCTTCAGCTGCTTGGTTGGGGGGGGGGCCCAACGCCCCTAGTGGACGAACCGCGACTGAGTTTATGAGTCTGATGTGGAGTTATATTTCCTTTGCTTTATTTTAGTGCACAACAACACACATTTTCTAAAATAAAATGTGACTCAAGGGTGCGCAAGGGACTTTGTTGTC